TATACAGTTTCTAAAGTTAATATTTATATGCTTGAATCCACTCATAATAATTTACGTTTAACTATAGTTATAACTACTACACAATTATGTAATTCTAAACCGTTTCTAATTAAATTCCCTCGTTGCTGGTTGGTTGCATGCAAATTCATGCTATGCTTTTCTACTAAAATAACCCCTGCCTACTTGGCATGGCATGGCCAATTTTCTTGCCATACCACGCGCTCACATTGCATGTGCCCCATCAATTTACCTTTTCCTTAATACTAAACTCTCCTATAGACTTGACCCGCCCCGGGCTCCGCCACCTGTTCCCATTGCAGTTTACCGTGTGCTCAGCTGTACCGACGACATTTCGACGCGTTGACACTGACGGCGCTCTACAATGACCGCCGCCGTTGGCGCCGACTAATCGGCCGCGGGTCATACGTTCATCGCATAATAGACGGAACCTTGAGCGGCAGCGGCAGCGGCGGCGGCGGCGGCGGCGGCGGCAGCGGTAGCTTGTCCGGCATTTGGCGGCGGTGGTGGTGCTGCTTGCTGCTGCTGTTGTTGTTGTTGTGCAATGTTCGCCTGTTGCTGTTGTTGTTGCTGCTGGTGTTGTTGTTGCAGTTGTTGCTGCAATTGCTGTTGCACAGCCGCTGCCTGGCTGGCGGTGGGCGACACCATGCTGTGACAATCGGTGTGCGACACCGCGGCCGCGCCTTCCGGTACGCCACGCTCACTGAAACCAGGTATATTGCCCTCCTGTGCGAACTGATAGCGCTGTGCCATGATGCGCTGATGCGGTGCATGCGGATGCTGGTGTGGATGGGCGGCCGCCGCAGCTTCAACACCCACCGCCTGTTGCGCATGTTGCGCATAGTGTGCTGCTGCATGGCCACGTCCAGCCATCACATGAAGCTGCATGCCGGGCAGCGCATAGCCAATGGGAACGCGAATCGTCTGCTGGGTTACCTGCAAATTGCAAATGGCATTAGTGTGTGACATAATTGTGTAAAAAAGCAGTGTGGCCATCGAGTGGCTAAGTGCCCACCTGCTGATACTCCAGTATATTTTGGCGTTGGATGTGCGCCACTTTCGGATCTATGTTGGAGGCGGCATATTGTGAGTAGGTCTGTGCGTTGTAGGGAATCAACACCATTGTTTGGTGGTAATTGCGCAGCGGTGGTGGCGACTCTGGACGTCGAGTCGGACTGCGTGCATAGTGGCCGTAATGTTGCTGCTCAATAGCGGTGACACTTTGGCAATTTTGTGCGGCGTACATCATTGCCGTTTCGTCCTGACCCTGCTGCATAATTGTTTGGCGGAACATTGCACCACCTGGCAATGTTTGGTAGTATGCCTGCTGTAGGCCTGCACCTTCAATGGGCAGTCGGTGTTGTTCAGCACCGCCGTCCGTGTAGAAACTCCAAGTGCGCTGTTCGGTTTGCTGTTGGGCGATGGTATTGGCCTGCACTTGGACTGCTTGGGGCTGTGGTTGCTGTTGCTGGCCGACCATCACTTGAGATGGCGGTTGTGGCTGTTGGGGTGGTTGTTGTTGTTGTTGCTGCTGCTGCTGCTGCTGCTGCTGTTGTTGTTGTTGTTGCTGCTGCTGTTGTTGCTGCTGCTGCTGCTGCTGCTGTACAACACTCACGGGATGTGGCACATTTTGTGGAGAGGGATTTTGTGAGATCTGTTTGGTCATGGAACTTGTGGAGGCTTGCTTTGGCAGCGTGTAGCTCTTGATGGCCTGGTTGACGGGCTGCGGTAGGCGAAAGAAAATTATTGGTATAACAATAACATAGCTGTGTGGAACTCTTGACTGGCCAATTTTTTTATTATCTATTTTTTGTAGAGTTTAATGAGGTGAGCGCTTCAAAAGTGAACTATGCAGTCAGAGTTTACTCGACTAACGTAAGGATTTATCCATCTGCTTTGACTTACAAAGCCAATATGCCAACTATATCGGAATATAAATTTTAAAACAACTAAAGATCGCAGATTTTCAAAAAGTAGCTTACACTAAAAATCTACCTTAATCGAAGTAGAAGGGATGAAATTGCCGCCATAATATCGCAAACTTTCACTCAAATCCACAGCAAAATCAAAATGTAGGATGAGAGGTCTAGTCTAAGTAAACTACAGTAAAGGACGTTACTCTCCTACTGACCCAATCTAATCCGGAGGTATGCCAGAAGAATTGTGCAGCACTGGATAGGGTCTGTAATAATTCGTTTTGCCATTCTCTTTTTTTCCACCTGAACGATCTGAGTTTGCGAAACTCCCTCAATGTTTGGAGCTTGGTTAATAAGTCCCTATTGGCTTTGTGTATAATGGAAGGGAGTCTGAAGTAATAACGAGACGGAGTACAGACACAAATTTCATTATATTTTTCATCTCTTTGTTTGCCAACGTAACGAGATCAAGTACATAGAGCAGGAAACCCTTCTACCGTGTAAAGCAAACTGGCAGCTGGAACAAATACGCATCAACCCCAACTGCCTACAACAAGCAAATTCGCAAAATAAAAACGAAAGGTTTTATAGAATTCTGCGTAGGGATTTCCTCCACTCCGTAGGCAGACAGAATCCTTAGGATCTTAGCTAGAAGAACAGTTGAAAGCTGAAGAAACGATTAAACTTCCAGACAACAGCTGCACTAGAACCGATAATAAATAAAAAAAAGGGCTCTAGCCCTTCTGAAGACCTAATTCCGAGAATCAGCGGCTCTGGTAGCAGAAGACAACGATGGCCACTACAGATCTGCTGTGGATGAGTGAGAGACGTCTGTCTGATTTGTTTGTACGGTGGCCTATGGGTACGTTCGAGAAATACAAATCGCCGTGGTTAGATGGCCTATGGCCGATTCTACCCCATAAAGGCCAATATCTTTTAAGCCCGGGAACGGTGAGGAACGGGAACACAGCTGTTTCAATCCGAAGATGGATAGGAGTAGTGGCACGAACAGGTTTGACGAAACGGCAGAAGGAAACAAATTAATGTAGCTGAAGACCACGACAGACGTAGGTAATTAATAAATGAAGTACCGCAGCCTTCGAAGTAATCCTTGACCTGACACCGCAACTAATATTCATACAACACACTGCAATACACTTCACTAAAGAGGACACTAGCAAAGGCAGACAGAGGAATAAAATCAAAACCAAGATTACCATCTTCTGATTCAACGCGATGGCATGGCCAAGGAAAGAATCTCTGATAAATGCAAAGCTGCCTGAGCTCGGACTATTCTAGAAAACACATTTCGGTCACACACCCAAAGGTGGTACACAGATGTTAAAAAATCTGACGAGCATATATAGATATCGAACACTCTAAGAGAACATAACACTGTTCAAATGATGTAGATACCGGGTCAGAAGAGACTGACAAGGGAAGCAGTAGCTACCCGAATGCAGGCCCACACACTATCATGGCAGGACAAAACCTAATTTAAAGTTGCAACTCAAAGAGATTTGGACAGCTAAAAACAAGCTTAAGGCATATAACAGGCGTACTGAGGGGTCATAGGAGGTCGTGAGCCCACCTGAACATCCTGTCATTTAGCTCAGCCACCAGAAGAAGAAAACTACATTTGGGCGAGCTGTAGTCAGAAGCTACGCATATTCATTTAGTGCTACCTCGAAAACTGCTGAGTTTCATTAGGAGTTTAGAGCTAGACGAGGCCCAGGGTTGCAGCGCACACTCTCAATTATACATACACACCCTCTCACCGACCCACCAATACCCCAACTTACCTGCCCCACAGCAACGCTTGGCATCTGCTGATTTAATTGCTCCTGCATTTGTTGTAAAATCTCATTGGTGGAACTAAACTTCGGTTTGATGCCGCGCACCGACGGGCGCTTATTAAAGCCATAATCATTTTGCTCATCATCATCAGAGCTATTGTTGGAGTTTTCGTTGGTGTAGCGCTTTTTAATCTTTTCCGTACGATTGGCATCCTGCTGTGCAAATGCTGCCAATTCATCTTGCTGCTCCTGTCCGGGCGTGCCAGCAATGACATCGGGCGCCACCTTGCGTACTTCATCGGTAGCGCCGCCGCAACCGTTACCACTACCACCGCCACCGCTGCCGCCCTGGTTACCACCGCCTGTCTGTTCGCTCAAATTGGCACCACCCAAATTGAATTCAGCGAATTGTGCATTATTGGCCGCATGGCCGCTATGATGTGCCGCAGCCAAGGTGTAGTAGGATGAAAGGTCGTCCTTGTTGCCAGCCACACATGCGGTTAGTGGTGCTAGTGTGGAGAGGAATTGACGTTTGGGCTCCACTTGACGTGGTGGTGTGCGATGAATTTGGGTATGTACGACGGGTACTTGTATGCCCATGCCGAGATCGGGTGCGGCCGGGCAGCGGCATTCCTAAAAGGTTGAGTTTATGTTGTTTTTTGTTTAAATGTGTATGAGTGGACTGGATAAACAATTTTTTTTTTACCTGAGGTATTATAACTATGGGATTCTCTTCCATTTCTAGTATCTTTTCTTGCTTCTTGTCACGATTGAATATGTCGGAGATCTTTTTATAAGCCGATGAGCCACTCGATGAGCTCGAAACTGACGAGCTGGGCGAAAAGCTTTTATCGCTGTTGCCGTTGACGAATTTCTGTGGATTCTCTTCGCCCATAGGACTGCCGCGATGCATCAATTCGCAGTTGGCTTCCGCAGCTAATTTCGAGCTTTCCTCATCACCGTTCTCCGCAGCGCTATCCTCATTCGTTTCATCGATGTCACAGGTCAACTGTTTAATGCGCTCCTCAAGCGAAATATCCGATTTGACGGCCTTTTTCCTGGCATTTAGAACAGGGGGTAATGCAAAGTGTATTGCATTGAAAATATGTGAAGAGGATCAGAAAATAAGGCAATAAATATATGCATGTACTCACTTGATCAACGATCGTCGCAATATGTTGCGCTCAATGCTACGCCTTAGCGTGTCCGTATCACCACAGCCGGGTAGATTTGGCACCAAACAACCAGCACGCTTGGACTCGTCAAATGCTCGTAATGCTTCTGAGGTGAGCACCGGTGTTTGGTGAGCGACGCTCGGGAACAACTGGCGTACGGCGGAATTGGGACGTAATGCGTTATTGAATAATGTGGAATGTTTCTTGATCGGTATGAGTTCGTTTATCTGATTCTCCCCTTCATCGGCGACGCCAGTTGTCTGACCCTCGCCGTCAACGGCCAAATCTTCAGTAACAAAACGCACCGAACGCTTTGTGGTGCCACCTTCATCCTCGGAAGTGGTGTTATTCTGGTCATCGGACTGAAATGAGATGACCGAAGAGAGAGAGAGAGAGAGAGATAGATAGAGAAAGATACAAATATAAATTTAGTTTCAATAACTATTTTCATATAAATGTAAAAAAAGACAGTGTGACGTTTTGTGATGTTAGGTAAATTAGGTTCACAATGGGTGTTTTAGTATTCCTCCTTAGTGGATGTTAATATGTTTGGAAAGGAAGTCTCATAATTGGAGGGAAATTTCTGCACATTCAAAATACTGATCTTTCTGGGTTTTAGGTTTCCTTTTGATCCTAGTAGGACAAAGCTTGAAATATACGTACACAAGGAGGATAATACAAAAATTTAATCAACTTTAAGCTCGTTTCTTGAATTATAATCTTTCTAAATGATTAATATTTTGGAAAGAGTAAAATACCTTTAGCTTCTCTAGTAAGAAAGTATATGCAAGCAAAGCTGACCATGTTGCAAGAAAAGATCTTTGAAACCAAGAATTCCTTTGGACTTTGGAACTGAGCGAAATTGGAAGGTAGCGTTGAAGGTGTTTTCCGAGATAAAGTCCCCACAGACCACGCTTAACATGCTTCTACATTTATCCAGCGTGGGTAATAAGTAGCTAAGCGTGGGAACTGTGTAGTAACACGTTCCACGTCGCACGAGGTAACGCAAGAAACGCAAGCAACATAATATTGGGCTGTAAAATGCCGACTAGTAATTACTTTTGCTTCCAAGGTTTATTCTACCCAGATGCACACCCGACATAAATGGCACGTTCTCACAAAGAACAAAATGATAACGAAACTTTAGATAGCGTTGCCAATGAGAACGAAAATATTTATAACGTGTTCGAGAAGAATCAATTAGGAACAAAAGTCTGGGGAGCGATCTGCTAGAGTACAAAACGATAACAAAAGTTTTTAGAACTTAACGTTCAGAGTGCGAGGCGCATCTGCTTGTTGGGATGAAAAATTGTTTCAGTGAGAACCATGATTATTAGTTCTAAGCCAGAGGAAAGCTTGGATCATTTTCAACTCCATTTATGGAATAATTTTTCATTTTATTTGCAAGCAAAGTTCCGGCCTTAAGTCTTTCGTTGACTTAATTTGCATATTTATCTTTAAGTTCTTTTTTGATTCAATTTTAATATTCAAGCATCTCAATGAGAAAATTTTTGTTCTCGCTTCCATTCTTCGCCAATAGTTCAGTGAAGTTTTTTTCCCGTTCCGTTCTCTGTCAGAACATTCCAGAAACTCTAGCTCTCAAATAGTTCTTAGAGAGAAAGTTCCTTAGACTTTTGTTCCCGTTTTGTTCTTTGCCAGAACGCTTCGGTGAATTTTGTTCCCATTTTGTTCCCTTAGAAATGTTCCCGAAAGTATTGTTCGCATTTTTTTCTCTTTGGAAACGTTCCACAGCGTTTTGTTCTTATATAATTCTCGTTCAGAACATTCTCCACAGTTTTGTTCTGACTATCATTTTTTTGAAAACCGTCCCAAAGGTTTCGCTCCCATTTCGGTTTTGGTTTTTAAGCACTCGTGGGAACAAAACTACTAGAACGACATTTAGTTGCGATCATACCTTTTGTTCGCAGGGAATATTGAAATATATTTTATATAATTTTACTCCATTGTTCAATCACTTACCTGTGACATTGAGTCCTGTTTCCACAATTTGCCGCCCTTCAGAATACCGCTAATTTGTGTGGGTGACGACTCCTTTGGTGGTATGGGTGGCGGTTTTTCCTCATCGCAGACTTCACCGCCTGCATTAGATGTTTGTTGTGGCTGCTGCTGTTGGGCAGTGCCGCCACTAACAGCGCCGCTTGGCTTTGTTGGCAATGTTGGCGGCAAGAGATCGGCGCCGGCCGTCACATCCTCGCTGGCCTCACGCACAATGCGCCGCTCGGTCACTGTAGTCATAGTGGTAATAGTTTCAACAACAAAACGTTTATTTTTCGTAGCATTCAAGCGATTATCCTTTCTATCTTTGACTTTATTACAAAATATGCGATCAAGTCAAGTAGGATTACGATTAGCATTACAACATAATTATACAGCACAATTACATGTACATTTTTTTTTAGTTTTTGTTAGTAATTTTTTTTTTGTGTTAGTAAGAAATTGATATTCGATTTTTTTTATTAAAAATTTGTTAGTAATGAGTTCAGTTGGAGTTAAGTAGAAGCGCGCAAAAGTGACAAACATTTTGGAGAATTTGTTTTTGCGTTGCGTGGTGAAGATACAGACATAAGCGCAGTTTAGATTCACGTCATACGAACGCATTGGTAGTAGATCGCCCATACAACGAACACGAATGTGATTTGGCAGCATAATGAAAATTACATACATACAAACAAACATTACGAGTATCTACATATGTATATGTATTGGCACTAAATACATTCGTATTTACTATGAGTTGCGCGTTTGATGAAAATGCTTGCAGTTCAGTTCATGCAGTGGAATGCAAAAATGTGGATAGCGTTATGCGAAACTGGAAATGCAACTCTCCTACATATACATAAATGGTTCATTTATGGCAATATGCTTGTGTATGCAATTTAATGCTTGAGCGCTTATTTACAGCATAAAACTAATATTTTATGAAATCGCGAAATATTCTACAAAAATTCGCATTTGGAAAAGCAAAGCAAATTAAAATTATCGGCAAACTCATTTAAAACTGCCAAAGCATTTGCAGGTTGTTGGATTGTAAAAGGGCTATACAAAGAACTGCAGCGGAATGGTATGCGTCGGCACAACAGCACTGCCCTTATAACTCACGCGAGATGAAGTAACCAATCTGACGGCCTTGGGGCACTGCAGTCAGAGAGGCAGCTTTAGTGCGGCTACCGTGACGTATTTGGTTGAAGGGTGCACTGAAGTCTGCCGCTTTTGTTCAATATTAAGATCAATAGGCTCGCTATATAAATATATATTTTCTTAAAAAAAAAAATTGCTCAGCTTCCGGTTGTGCGCTGAGTTTGAGGCCCGAAACATAAAAAAGAATTCCAATGCAAACCTCCAACAAGCCTGGCATGATGAATACCACGGCAAAGGCACAAAAGAATACGATTTGAGGGTTTGCACTTGGAATGTCAAGACCCGCGACGCGAAGACTAATGGTGTTTTCTTTTCTAACGCAAAATGTAACCTTCTCAACGCCCTCCTCAAACAAAGAAGGCAGTATTTGTTGTACGAAAAAAAAACGCCATAAGGCTGACATTACCGCCATCCGGTGAACGAGCGTCCCACGTCTATCCACATCAAAATGAGATTCTCCAACATTTCGTTAATTTTAGAACCACGCCCCGCCGAAAGACAAGAACCAGAAAGGTTTTTTGTAAGCGCTTTGAGCGCATCTATGAGCGCTGCGCCCATCATGACATAAAAATCGTGTTTGGCGATTAAAATGTTAGTATGAGCATGGAAGGCTACTTTAATTCCAGTGTCGGGAATTCTGCTTAGACGATGAAACGTCCAATAATGAAAGAAGGCTGATCGACTTAGCCAGCGCCCGAAACATGGTAGTCTGCGGCACCAGGTTCCAGCATACAATAATTCATCCGGTAACATGGATGTCTGTCTCCATATCGAAGGACGAGAAACCAAATCGATTACATTGTACAAAGAAAACTGCTGTAGAGAACATAGATGCCGCTGCGATTGGGCGCAACGCGAGCTATGTGGGATCGATATAGCAAGTTGAATAGGATAGCGAGATGTATTTGCCGTGGTAAGAAGAAATGGGCCAAAATACGTGAGTGCGAGGAGCTTGAAATACATGACCGACAAGAAAAACACCCGAAAATTTGATTAGAGAGTAAGGGCGAAAAAAGTCCAGGGCGAAATCCTGTAAGAACGGTTGTCCAGAACATACTTAAATTAAGGAGGGAATAATTTTCCACCCTATTGTATGCTAACAGCACTGAAATTAGTGGAGAAGATGAACCCGAGTCCCCAGGCAAGGACGACAGAATCGATGTGCCATCGCCCGCCTATGATGAGGTACGACCGACAGCTGACGGTCTGCCATCTGAGCATCAACTCTTATACAAAATATAATCGGATGAACGAATGCCTGATGGCTGAAATTTAAGTGGGCTACGTACAACAATCCATAAGAAAGACCACCGCGCCATATGCGAAAACCATTGCGGCATCAGCCTTTTAAGCACCGGATATGCGGCCTTATCGAGCGTATTGGCTTTAGATGAGGTAAATCCACCAAGGACCGGGTATTCACCATACGCTGCGATGTCTGAATTTGGTATCCCTGTGAGCCTAATACGGCATCATCAGCTCCGTCAGAATTGGTAAGGACCTCTCCGAGCCGATTGATACAAACCAGATTTCAGGTATAGCGACTCCCTGTCGTGTGTGTCGTGTGTCAACAAGAAGATGAAGTTTCTGAATTCTGTAACTGATAATGTATCTTGAAGTCTTCTCGTATTGGAGCTAAATTTAAAAATCGATTGAAATTCAATTGAAAATTCGGCTAGGACAATTTGGCTAAAATGATCTGAATGAATAGTCATTGAAGTCAGGGATTTTTTTACGCAGAATCAGTATGCCGGAAGGATGAAGAAAATTCGCAGGTAATGATCGGTATCATTTGGAATTAAATATAGTAATTGTACTAATTTTTTTCCAAAAAAAACCAAAAAAAAATCTCAAAACTTATTTCCACACTCTAATCTGCTGGCTGATGTAAATTCTCTATATCAGAAAGAGAACTTACACTAAAGATGGCAAAACGAAACTGCGTAGTCTCCAAACCAAATGTGAAAAGAGATGACGGAAATTTCTACCGAAATACTACCCGTACGTCTACTAAATCGTTGATTTAATGCAGTGCGGCAAAAATTGTACCGTAAATAAAAAAATAAATATATAAAATATTTTTGCAAGGAAATTTCAAAAAAAAATTTTTTTAGTGGCCTTTTAAAATATTTCGTCGTATCTTCTGCATTTGTAATCGGAACTTAAAGTATGATATATCGATGTTTTTGTATCGGGGAGAAATTGGTTTTTGTTACAAAGTCCATTGGCATAAAATACCCCGGTTCCAATATTTACCGAACAGATCTCGGTGCTTATCATCCTAATGTCAGTACATTGAAGCTTGCTAAACATTTTTGAACTTCTTGTAAGGAAGTATTTCGATTCGAAAGCAATTTCGATTTTTTTATGGTCAAACATAGGGGTCGCCTTTTTACATTTTTCTTTATATCTTCAGCATTTAACGTCGGATCTAAAGTAAATATGATACATATGTCGAAGTTCTTTTCTCGAGGAGGCAATATTTGATTTTAGTGTCTCCGAAAAATGTTCGGCAAAAAATTCGAAATTGCCTTGCAAAAATACTTTCAGCTCAGAGGCGTACGGGAAACTATTTTTTGTTTGCTTGTAAGGTGGTACGGTCGAATGCATATGAATGTAAATTTATGTTGGTTTGTAAGCGCTGTTCAAAGCAATAATAATAATAATAAAAGTGCATAAGCAAATGGAAGCAGTGGAAATAATTTGGATGAAAGCATAGATATTATACAGTCAGCGTCAAAAATATGTTTTCCTTGACGTTTTGACGATTTTATTTATTTATATTTTACATACTAAATTTTTCTTATTTTTTTATAAAAATAAAGTTCATTCAACAGCAAAAACCACAAGAATCTTTTTTTTTTAGTTCACATAGAGCTCGGAAAAATGCAAGAAATACCAAGAAATTTTCATCGACATTTTCAATTTTCAATTCGATTTCTTAGTATTTGAGTAAGCAATTTTGTAGCCCGTTAAATTTGAGTACCACAAATAGCTAGTTAAATGAACTATGTTATTATAAAAAATAAGAAAATTTTGGAATCAAAAATATAAATAAATAAAATCATAAGAATGTCAGGGTATGCATAGTTTTGACGCTGACTGTATATGTACAATGCCGAGCATATTTGTATACTTATAATATTTACATTAGTAATAACTACACAATTACATATGTATGAAAATTGCTAAATGCATATTTATGTATGTATGTAAATAAATGAGTTCATATTTCATTTCATACCTGGCGATGGTTTATACTGCGATTGGAGCACATATTTGGGACGCTCTTCGCCGGCAATGATTTCTTTCTGTGTAATGCGACGCTCGGGTGAACTGGTGTGCAATGGCAACAGTGCAACGGCCGATACACCGATTGGTGTTAGCTCCTCTTGGCATTGTGGTGAAGTGCATTCTACGGATACGATACGATGATACGAGCAAAACATGAATACATACATAGATGAAAACAAAAGTTGTGACAAAATCTGTGGGTAATGGATAGCTAGATACGAGTAGCTAACAACTAATGTCAGTTAAATAAGTGCATAATGCGTAAATATATGTTAAAGTTATGCATCTACTTTTGTATATACATTGGGGTGGTTCTTAAAATAACAACATCTCAATTTTGTAAGGAGCACACTTTTTTTACCTATGTACGTACAAAATAAAGATATCAAAGAATATTTAGAAAAAATTTAAAAAATGTAGGTGTTGCCACCAGGGTTTGAAAAAAATTTAAATAAAAAAAAATCGCAAAAATTCTACCACAATTTGATTTCAAATCTGAAAAACATTACGTATTTTTTTTTTGAAACATATTCATATAAATTCCTAAACTCGCTGAGTTATACATACATAGGTGGTTAAAGTCAAAATTTTGTAGAATTTTCTCTGTTCAAACAAAAATTTCAAACCCTGGTAGCGATACCTGATATATTTTTCTTAATTTTGAAATTTTCGTAGATGTCTATTTTGTACGTAGAACATGATCTGTCAAATTCTCTCGATTAAAAAAAAATTTCAAACTCTGGTAGCTATACCCGATTTTTTTATTTAGAAATTTTCGTGTATGACTTTATTTTTTTTACATAACTAGAATAAAATAAAGAGGTGCCCCCATGAAGTTAATGTTTTTAAGGACCACCCTAACGCACATACATATATGTATATGATTATTTCTATATTATTCGAGGGTGCGATAAAGCAGTAGTGAAATGCGTTGCTAATAAATATTAACAATAATTTCGACGTGGTAAAAGAGGCTAACAATGCCATGTATGAAAAACTGTTGTTGCTCTTGAAAAATAATAACAACAGCAAAGCCGTTAACAAAGCCAAATGTGATGTGCAACTGCAACTGATTGATGCACATCTGTTACGCTAGCTTTTGCTGCCTAAATGCATATCTATGTAGTATGTACATATGTACATACATACATTTAGGTGTGTGTGAATGTGTGCGCTTCCAGCACTGCGTTCCCTTAATTTTTTTCAATTTTTTATTTTGTTTCTTTACACCCTAATAGTACGCTCTGCATGCACACGTGCGCCCGAATTACCGAAAATAAACGCTTGAATGAGTGAGTGATTGAGTGAACACGCGTTGCCAAGGCCCCCTTCCGAAAACCATTAAAAAAATTAAGAAAAAAAAAACACCAACAATGTACCGGTATTCCCGAGCGGAATTCTGCATGAAGGATGATTGTCTTGCGTTGTCAAGCAGTTAAGGCGTGGCAGGCTGGGCTTACTAGTCATTACGGCAATTTCGGCAAATGATTTTCTCTCTGGAATTGGCCAGCTTGAGCCGCCGAGAATGGCTTCTGTTAAGCGCAACAGCAGCTCACTTTTACTGTGTTTTCAAGGGCCATTAACGAACTAACGCGCTAGTGAGGGTATATATGTATGTAAATTAATATTATGTACATTTCGGCACATAGCACAGTGCACTTCCCAAGAATGTACTTTAAATTTAAGGTTAAAATTAAACTACTCGAAAAAGTTTTTCAACTTTCTGGTTGATACCAAATACCCTCTGGGCAGCAACCGAACACCCGCTTGGAAGTGTGCAAATGTAAAAAGGCAAACCCCAGTAGTTGGTTGTTTGTTAAGCTTGGAACTCGCTACGCAAAAAATAAACTACCAATGAAATGCCCAAATTTTCCTCGCTAAGATCCTTTTCTTATTGATGACAACCACGGCGAACGTACAAAGTACTACTGCAGAACGAAAAATGAGAAACCAAATCGATCAAGTCGTAATAGACTGAAGGTACGCTTCCAGTGTATTGGATGTACGCACGCTCCGAGGACCAAACATCAATTCAAACCACTATCTTTTTCAGCAAAGAATTAGTTAGATTCCATGAAGCCCGAAAGAACAACTGATACCTCAAGGAGTGCTGAAGAGGGAAACGAGATGTATTTTCCGTAATATGAAGAAAAAGGCCGAAATATGTATGCGAGTGTGAGGGAATTTTTACCAGAAAGTTAAGTGACTTATGGACGATTTTGAAACCAGAGCGAACGTTTTTATTGATTCTAAAAAATTTTATTGACTTCAAAAGAGAAGAACTCACATTCTTAATTCTTATTCTTATGGAACAAAATAAACACCCTTAGAATTATCGGAGAGAGGTCAGATTCACGGATGATTATTACCTAACCAAATACTTCTTTCTTTTTAATGTATTTACATACAAAATATGTACATAAAGAAAACCACGACCAAAACTTCATGCCATACTCTTGTGAAGCACACTGTACTTAGCTGCTTTCTTGTAAAGGTCACAATGCAATGAAGTGTAACGCCAGAACATACCACGTAGCATGCCGTGAGTGCCCCACCCCTACAGCATTTATGTATCTATGCATGTATGCATGTATTTATATAAAAGTACCCAGCAGAAAAAAAGATCAATTGATAAAAAATAACAATTCGATAAATACCTCATTTTTAATTAGCTATGACAAACTAACTTAAAGTGGATTGTAAAGTTATGCAGATGTTATAGGAAGTTAGTTTTACTTTAAAAAAGTTTCGATTTAAATATTCTCATACAGAAATTACTTTGAATACGCTTATTTTATGCACTTCGCAGATGCCTTTTCGAATTCAGAAAAATTAAAATTAAGATCGTTTACATATATCATCACTTTGATGTTAAGAAAGTGGGGCATTTAATTTTGCATTACCTAGTATCGAGAAATGAATGAATGTGTTTTAATATGAAATTATTGGAACTTTTTGAATACATTTAAATGCTGATTTCATATGTAGTTAGCAGTAATATAATCGAGAACTCATAAAAAATACATTATCAGGCCTATCACAGATTCCGAATGAACTCCCGTCGTGAAAAAATCTCCTGTCACGAATTCGGGAGAAATGCTATTAGCAATTCCGACGCATTCGTAGTTAGCGCTGCCTTTGGTTTTTGTTTGTTTTTATGTTTTGGTTTAATAATTCTAAATCAAAATATAATAAACCACCATTCTCACGAATTTCGAATTTGCGGGAGAACTTCGTGATCACGACGGAATTCATGATAGCGATGTCACGTCGGGATCTCCGACGGAATTGATGATAGGCCTGTATGTTACACAGTAGGGAGGCAAAACTCACACAGCTAAACGGCGAAAACACATAAACTTAATTTTGGTCTCTAGATAACGATGGCGTTTTCAGAAAATTCGTATCACGTCAAAATTTTGAGATATTTAGGAGGCAAGTTTTAGAGCTCTGAAAGTGAAATTTTCGTGGTTAATCAAGATTATAATATCTTCGTTGCCTAAAACAATGTAAGATTCAGAGTCTCTTCTATAGGGAACATCGGAGTTGAGACCAAAACTTTTAATCATAGGCAGGAGGTTAGACACCCTAACTCGTAGATCTCTTTTAGCTGCATAGTGCATCTGGCGTCTACCAGAACCGTTCGCCGACTGATTCTTCTTCTTTTTTAGTGCTGTAATGCGTAAACATTCTTCGAGTCCAATAAAGTACACCAGTTGTTTCTCTTATGTGTCAATTCTTCTCTATCTGGCCTATCCAACGCAAAGAAGGCCGCCCTCTTTCGCCCACTTCCTCTGCAACCAGCAGTGGGTTCCGAGTTGAATACTTTGTATTTTAATTCGCTTAACTATATCTATATCGTTGTAAAGCTTCTACAGCTCATCGTTCTATCGTCTGCGTGCCCGTAAATATTCAACAAAATCTTTCTCTCGAATACTCCAAGGGTCGCCTCACTGGATGTTGTCGTTGTTTCAATGTTCCGGCAATCGGTTATCAAAACGCAGATCCAGCGGCCACAATAAAACCATAATTAAAATATTCTAGTAAAATATTTTAAATAAATTACTCCCGACCTCCGATGTAAAGTTAACCGGCAAACTAGGCGAAAAAAGTGAAATAAATTATGACTCCAACAAGGGAATATCATTACAGCTGAATCACACGTTCATTTATTACCCTCACTGCGCTGCTTTGTGAATAAAAAAAAAAACCAAACTTAACCACATAATTTACAATTAATTGAAATACCGACCGACCGGTGCATTCACCTCTGCCCGTACAAACAGCAGGCAGTCCCTTGACAGCATTTAGAGAGGAAGTGCAGCAGCCCATAAGCACAGCTGCAGGTATGTTTGATCCAACAGACTCAGCCAGCGCAGCCTAATCACAACCCAGTTTGAACGACTCAATGCTAACCCTGCGGACACAGCCGACTGCCAGCCAGTGCCACATCATAAGTTACCAACGCCAACAACAAAGTCGACTGTCAGTGTAGTCAGACTAATTGCATTGTCACCACAAGCTCCTAATTTAACCACATACATACTTCCATTACCGCAACCCCCACGCCCTTTCCAACCAGCCCTCCGCCCCGCATCCGCTCATTGCGACCCGCACGGCACTCATTGCGATGCTCGTGTGCATAACATCCGGTGATTTTCGACGGCATAAACACGTTTCGGTTTACAGGTGTTCGAGCAAATAAAAACAACAACAACACATAGTAAGTAGAAGTACGATAAGCACAAGAATTGTGTTGGCTGAAGTACATGCAAAGTGGGTTTAAAAGCTAACAATGTCTGCATAATTTTTACCTGTATCCTGGAGCTGCTTGGCAGCACACTCGGCACATTCGGCGCACTCAGTGCAAACGCCCAGCGAGTCATCGTCTGGCGAATGTTGTTGCTGTAATTGCTGGTGCTGTTGTTGTTGCGCTTGCTGCCCTGCTTGTTGCTGCTGCTGATGCTGCTGCTGATGGTGCTGACTGAGTGCTGCACTCCCAACTGGTGGCGGCGGCGGCGGAATTTGATTATTATTGCGTGCAGCCAGCATGGCGGCCCTTTGTTGCTGCAATCTCTGGATGACCTGTAGCTGTTGGATGTGTTGGGCGCCAAAGATGTGACCGCTTAGCGCGCCACCGAGGGTATTCTTTAAGCCATTGTCCTTGTAGCCATCGGGCGGACTGAGTGCGGCCTCATCGACAAACTCAATAGGTGGCGCGTATTTGGGACTCTGTAGAAGGAAGAAAGAAAAATAGTTAATACAAATGTATGTGAGTGTGTGTGAGGGAGGAGTGAGAGAAGACATACTGAGAAAAGTGGATAAGTACGTATAGATTGCATATCGAGCCCTTAGAGCTGAAAATACGTAAGCGATATTTTTTTTTTAAATTTGATTTTTGATGCATAAATGCATCTACACTCAGAAAAAAGCATTTCCTTTCAACAAGAAAACAGTACCCTTATTTTAGAGTTACTGTTTTTCCTTACTCAATTTGAGAAGTTTTTCACATGCATTTTGGACCAACCTAATGTACAGTAAGTAAATAGCATACATTTAATTCAAACAATATTCACAATGTTTAACGTGGTAGATTTTTTTCGTTAATTTGTTGTTTCATTGCCATCTTGATTACGCCATTGCTAAGTCTTATTCTATTCTTGCTTTCATATGACGCTTCAGTTCAGACTTTTCTGACCAGTATACTTTAAAGTTGTTACATATATACTTCCCTTGTTCGATCAAAAATGGAATTCGCAGCTTTTATTTGGAGACCATACCATAGGCTTCAACGAGTCCGAAAGATTTCAATTCGATATATGCCTTATGATCTCTTCACTTCACCGATCCGATTCCTTCTTACCGCAGTAGGTGTATGCTCATTCATCTTAAATCATAGTAGAAGGATACTTCTTTCCATCACTTTTGTTTTTGATCTAATTTTCGGGTCGATTGATTCCCCATTTCTCCTTGAAAGAGTTAATTTTAATATTCCTCAAAGAAGTCTGATGAGAAAATGTGGTGATTTCCGAAATAGCTATCACTTCTACCATTTTTTTAAATTATTGTTGCTTTTCCACAATAAGTTTTCATTGAAAAACGGCCTCAAGCTCAATAAAAATTGTTGAATATTATTGTTATAAGGCCATAAAATAACAAAAACAAATTCCTCAAAGCAGTTTACGGAGTCATTGGGCCTCATGCATAAACAGTGAGCTTAAACTCAGACTCCATTTTTGCACTGATGGAGTGAGCTCAAACTCAAGACGGTTGGACACAGTTAGAACTATTTACGCTGATGTGTGAGAGATTGGCTGCGATGTGTTGAGAGGCTGTTGAGCTCTTTTACATATTTCTTCGGTATTGAGAAAGCTGCCACAAAAGATGGTACAGAAGAAGCGAAAAATTTGTTAGCGAAACGTTGGGTCAGAATGTGAAATAACGTAGTTATATTTGCACAAAACACGTAGATCAGACTAGCCTGGTAACATAAAATGTAGCTCTTTTACATTCAACAATCTGCTTCAATTTATTCGTAAATTAAGTAGATTTAAAACTGATTAAAAGGGGCATGAAACTGTACAATGGGCGGTATGCAGCCTGTGTGCTGATTTCCGGTAAAAAGGAAAACAACTTTATAGAATTTTCCAGCTGTTTGGAACATATGACCACGATAGGCTTTGTATAAAAAATGACAAAAAAAAAAACTGTATAGGGTTGGTCGAATGAATGGCCGTCCGAGTGACCAGTTCCGAGTCTATTCGATTTTTGAGTATAGGGCGTTATGTTGGACAGAACGGGGAGTATAAGGAACTCAAAATGGAGAAAATTAGCCTATGGTTACAGAAGATATGGGATAACTTGGAACTTTTCTCTCAAAGTTCACAATGCTGGCAAATGTACATAAGAGGGGATTAAACTTTAAAAACTAATTAATACAACTAAAGTAAAATCTTAAACTAAAGTAAATCTTAACAATAAAATACTTTTACGCAAAATCTATAAAGGACCCTTTTATTTCTCAAAAAAACCTAGGTAACAGTTATTCGTCGCAAATTATAATACATATGTTTGAGTATTTGTTTTCGAAATGCAAAAAAAAAATTTATACTATAATGCTAATGAAATGCGTTTTTCTAGAAATCATTCCGAAAAGGACGACGTGGTTAAATGCATTACTTTTATGAACGGCACATTTAATTGTTCGATTGAATCGTGCGCATCAAGCATAAGTGAAATGTAAATGTGTGAAACCATTTACTAGTGCAGGCCCATTTCGACCACATTTTTTTCATAAGCCTAAACATGCGAATAACTCCTCTTTGGAAAAAGATATGTATGAAAATATAGAAGCACCTAGTGTGGTGTGAAAAAGATAAGCATTTGGTGTGTAAATATAAGCATCTAGTATATAAACTATTAAGCATCTTGTGCCTAAAATTATGAACATTTACTGCGTAAAATTCTACAAGAAATTTTAAAAAAAATAGTTTTGTAATTTTAGACATTTATAGTCGGTAATGTCTTGCCTACCATTATCGACGTAAATTTGCCAAAAATGGTTTAGAATGCAGTTTATTTAACCCAAACCCAGTTGAAAACTCTAAATGAAAACATAGATACGAATATACATAAGTACATACATATATGGTATATATGTATATATAAATAATACTGCAGTATACTAGTATGATGACTTTCCCGCCGCTCGGCGCTCCATAGGGAGACTTTAACCTCCAGAAAAGGTAACCTACTCCTTTGCATCGTCTTCGTCGTGTGTGTATATGTACATATGTATGTATGTGCGCATTGGCTAGTAAAAAGTTTAAGCGATAGTTGTTAGGCTGCTGCGACCACCGGAAAATTAGGATTTCCTGTCAGGCAATTATAATCGTATGAATTTTTGATGTCCTTCGCTGCAGATTCAGATTTGTCGGGCCCAATACAGCGACTTGGCTGCGTCGTTACAATGCAGCGGCGCTATGTTACAACGACGATGACGACAACAACAATGATAATTACAACAACAACGACGATAAGTAAAAATGGCAACGTCAACGACGACATTAAAATGTAACACAACGCGCGTTGAAGTCATTGTACAACATTTTGTTCACAACAAGCGGGTGGCAGCAAATGCGCCTTTGTGTCGCAGAGATGAGATGGAAGAGCGATGTGCAAGCAATCTACTTATTGTACATACTACATAAATATGTATGTATGTAGAAGACACACATGCAGGGCTGGCGTTTAAATATGTGTGTACGTATATACATACTATATACGAATCGTGCTCGCCTTGTACAATGGCTAAAATAATGTTGGCCAAAACTCGTTTTTTTCCACATTGCTTCTTCTTTCTTTCTTTCTTTCATTGTTGTGCGAATCCGAGTACATGAAAGGGATTGTAATGGAAGAAGGCTTCAATGTTGTTTGCACTGAATTGTAGTGAAATCAGTTGCTCTGCTTTGCTTGCATCTCCTTCGTCATTAAATATTTGATTTTATTTACACTTACTTGACTTAATGTTCCTGCTTAATGTATGCATGTATACAAGCTTATGTACTTATATGAAACTTTTATAAATAGACTTGCAATTATTTATGGTCGTATCTACTTACATCACTACTTAGAAAATACTATCGATAAAATTATATTGTCAATAACACGTACATAAGTAGCATACTTTGGGCTCTCTTAGGGGTAAGTGAATGTAAATAGTACGTAAATTTTGTTTATTTACTCGCTCTCTGACACTGGCTTACCATCTTCGAGCATTCCACTATGGGCCAGCAAACGATAAAAAGTGGCCAATATTCGAAATCTTATCGGAATGGCTTAAAACTTGCTAAAGGGGGTTTTAGGGGTCGGTGATTACGAATCTGAAGTTATATTTTAAAAATTCAAAATGGCGGATCCAATATGGCGGACAATATTGTGAAAAGTAATCGGATTGGCTTGGCACTTGTTATTTACTCTGTGATTTTTGGGCTTACTGATGACGAATTTGCATTTAGATTTCAAAAATTCTAAATGGCAAATCCGATACGGCCGGCATAAAAAAATACGTCGGTAGTCAGCCTACATAAAATGTAGTTTCCGAAGCCCACCAGGAGGAGGCTATACTACGAATTTAGACTTCACTTTTTTATTTTTTTGTTATTTTTTAGCTTTTGATTTTACATTATAATTTGTCTACCAATTACGAATGTAGACTTCACTGTTTTATTGTTTTATACTTTGCGTTTTTTTTTATATTTTATATTTTTACGAAATACGAATTTAGACTTCGCTTTTTTATTTATTATTTTTTTTACTTTTCTTTTTTCATATATTTTTATTTTTTACTAATTACGATTTCAGGCTTCGCCATTTTATTTCTTTTTGTATTTTCCATTTTTTTTTTGTTTTTTTATATTTTTTTTACCAATTACGAATTTAATTTTTTTTATTTGTTTTTGTTTTTCTTTATTAATTTTTAAGGTATTTTTTTAATTTCACTAAATTAAGGTGGTTGAATGCTTCTCTCAGAAAAAAAAATTTTTAATTTCAGTTTTAAAATAAAACATAAAATTAAAGTGTGGATGAATGTTTTATTCTTCCTCTACACTAAAACTAAAAATTTAGAATTAATGATCTATAGGTAGTGATTAACTCATATAAAGGATCGAGCCAAAATCGCTCACGCGGCCAATGAGGAAAATTAATAGAAAACAAGTAAGAAAGTCAAAGTGCGGGTGGAGCCGAACATTAAATACCCGGCGCCGGTATTAAATATATGTTTTTTCACCTTTCCGAAAGCTACCGCTAGATGGTAAGCCGGGGTGTATCAATTTTGACTAAATTAGCGTCCTTAAATTTCGAAAGATTGCAGTTTCAAGCATTTCTGAAATTTACCGTTACATGAAAAGCGGCCTTAATTTTAGTCCGATTTCAATAATTTTCAACGTTTTGCTTATATGTGGCAAGCAGAACAACCACACCGAGTTTGGTACAAATTGATAGAACGGTTACCGATATACATATATGTGATCATAAGTGGGCGGTGCCACGCCCATTCTCCAAAATTTTACCATAAACGTATTTCTTGGCAAAGAATTGTTGCAAGCATCAGTTTTGAATAAATTAGCTTTAATATTTATTGATTTATCGAAGATTTTGTATTTCTCTAAATTACTGTTATATGGGATGTGGGCGTGGTTATTGTCAGATTTTTAAAATTTTCGGCCAAG